CCTTCCAGCCCTAATGTCTATGAAATCTATGAAACATTAAATATTTGAATAACTCAAAGATGAAAGAAAAATATTTTAAACCTTTAAAGTATTATCAGGCTGCTTATTTTTCAAATATATTATTAGCATTCTGTGGTATTCAGATTTCCTGTTGCCACTCCAAGTCAGGAACTGTTAGAAAGCAGTAGTTTGGGGAAAGAGATGTTCTATATCACTAAATTTTCTATGTAAAAGTACCATATGTACTTTTCTATGTAAAAGTACCATAAACTTTACTTCAGTCCACCTTCCACTTGAATCTGAATTCAGTGAAAGCTTCCAGGAAAACAGGCACACTTTTATAACTTGCTCATTGTCAGTGACAACTGTGATTTAAGAGCATCTGACCATCCAGACAGACATCTTCTCTGGAAGGGAGGATCCATTTTTTCCTGTGCACATGGCCTGACAAGGGTGTGATTCTTTTAGCTGGCAAAATCCCATCTCATCCAGGACTTGCAATGTATCAGAGGGGTAAGACTGAGGCACCACCTGCCAAGGAGTTTGCCACTGGTTCTCAGTGGTCAAGCGGGGCAGGGCACAGAAGTAACCATGAATGCATAGAGACACTCCAGAAGTGTCTCTCAAAGGCAGCCCTGGCCACATCTGGAGTCAAGGTGCATCACATTTGGTATAAAGGGATTCCTTTTTAGAAGAGTTTTCAGGCTGGAGACTGGCTAGTAGAAGGATTATAGCACAAAGCCAGAGCACAGCTCCCCGTGATTTTAGCATCACCCTCAAATCCCTGAGAGAGAAAAACAAAAAGAGAGTTTCATCCACCCAGTTTCACCCACCCATCCATCCAAGCCCTTGGTGACAAGGGCACTTAGTATGCCTGTCATTTTAAGAATGAACAAGGCTGCAAGAGAAGCAATTTACAGATGTGGCAGGGACCAATTAGGGGGCTGGGGCTTGAAGCATATAAGCCCAAGGCCTGAGCTAGTCAAACAGTCTAGTCCTGAGCACTATGGGGAGAGGACTTCCTGGGTAACATTTGAACTGAGGGTAAGCAGTACCGGTGGCTTGTGGAAAGGACTAAGGGGAATTAAGGAGGTCCCAGCTGGCTCAGAAGAAAGAGAGAGTGGCCAAAGGGCCCGGAGATTTATAGCCTAGAAGGGGGCAAGTGTCAGCAGGGCCACAGAGCCCAAAGGTCCCACTGACCCAGGAGCAGTTCTAGGACCCAGAAATTGGCCAAAGGCCGAGGAGGACAACAGCCAGAAACTAGCAGGACCAGGGGAGCTCCAGAATCTTGACTGGCCTAGGAGCGGGGACAGGGCCCAGAGAGAAAGGGCCCAGAGGCCAAACAATGGGGGTCACAACTGGAGGCAGAGGGGTCCAATAGGCCCATAGCCCAAGAGGGGCAAGGACTGGGGCCGAGAGCCTATAGCCCAGGAGGGATGCATGAGGCTGAAATGAGTATCATCTGTGATGCATGTGTGTAGTGTAAGGAGCAGTCAGAGCCATGTTATTATCCCTTAACGCAATCAGCACGGACACCCATGTTCATGAGAGGAGATTTGACTTGGGGAATCCTGGAGTAGCCTCCCTTTCCTACAGGTATCATTTAATCAAGGTGTGGCAGATGAGGTGAAGGGGAGATCACCCAAAGGAGGTCCAGGAGGCAAGGGCTGAGGGGGTCTCCAGGGGCATCATGGCCACCCCTGGAAATGAACCTTTATGAGGGTGTAACAGAGATAAGTCTGCTATCAGCACCTGAATTTCTTTTGGAATCCCAAAAGACATCACTCAGGAAGTACATCACACCTTATCTTGGATCTAGCAGGAACATTTGCCTTATCTCCAGGAACTGTTACAAAGTCTTTAAAATCAACTGCAGCCAACACAACTGCTGGCTTGGCTGCCTAAAGAGAATATGAAGACTTTTGCATGGAGGTAGTTGGGAGTATCCCCAAAGCCATTTTGCCATATCACAAGGGGCTTCCTCTAATTCAGGCATGGAAGGTCTGTCTAGTAAAACCACTAGTGACCAAAACCACCTCCTCTTTCACAATAGATGTCAAGTGATGCATTCCTCGACAACATGGAAGGGTGATATTCCAGTAAGACTGCAACAATGGACTGGTCAAATGCAGTCATGTACCTGGCAATAACAATGTCCAAAAATCATTCTAAGGTCCCTTTCAGAACTTAAATAAATAGAAAAAACAGCTGGGGGATAGCAAGAAAAAGCACATATCTGGGAATAGCAGTGGTTTTGGATGCAAGTCTGGTACC